TTTAGTGAAAACATATAAGCTGAAAAAATAACGCATTGAAACATAAATTTTTCCGTTGTTTTCCTCGTGGGCTACGTTATATTGCACTTCATCCTTAACTGAATCTTAGTCGGATATTCTCACCAAACATGCCCTATGTTATATAAATATTGCCTGTAGCAAATCTGCAGTCAACCATTGATATCAATGGGTAGTCGCTCTCGTTATAAAGTCTACCTTTTTAAGAGATTATACTCTTGTTTTTACCATTGGTTCAAATAACATTGTGTTTCTCTCTATAAAAGTCGTGGATTATAAATAACACGTTCCTCGATTGAAAATTGAAAATACTAGTGCTACTATGAAACCAACAATAGATACGATACTCTGCGTCGATGCTTATAACGTATTAATGTGGACAAGCAGCTGATTGCTCAATTTCAACGAAGAAAAAATGAACATCCACAAGACAGAAATTTTAGACGAAAAAAGGTTTGGCCAACAGCCTGATATTTCGAAAATCTAATTTACGGAGAACGCAAAGCAAGAAAGATAATAGAGATTTTACAGATTTTCAGATACCAAAATCTACATTTTCCTTCTTGAGTTTTCCTTTACAATACTTCAGCATATTCTATTGGTTTTCAATGATAATCAAATATCTATTTCGAAATCTGCGTAAGAAATAAAATGTCATTATCAATATCGTTGCTCAAATTCTATATTTTCTCTTCCAAAACTTTCTCACTTACACTGAAAATACGCTTACTTGTAGCTAAAATTATCCGAATTCCCAAAAGAGATTCTTCTTCAACAGACTAATGCCATTGTTATCTTTAAACTCGAAACAACCTGAATGTTGACACTGTTAAATTCAAGACTTACACCATTTTGTTCACATTTCAATTCTACATCCTTTTACATAATAACAAATCTTTCATAGAACAAGTCTGGCTTTTCAAAACATTATTTTCCAAAGTAAAATAAAAAATATTGACCGATAGCAACTTAAAAGTATTAAATAATTTACTTTGAACATAGACATTAATGAGTAAAGGTTAACACAAATAAACTAATGTCAACAGAAAAATAGGTAATTGCAATTGTAAGTGTTTTAAATTTTGCGTTGACATGGAAAGTTTTATTTGAAATATAAATTCGACAGTTTTCTAGAGATTAAAATTCTTTATGTTATAACATATAAAGAAACCTTTGTGATGCAAAGAAAGTAATAGAAAAAAAGGCACCAAGATGAAATGTAATTTATTCTTGAACATCTGTTATATCACAGAAAGGGAAAGTTTTTTTTACTATAGCTTATATGTTTTAAAATGTATTATTAGTTCAAGAATGCAATACACAACGTACTTTCTCGGTATATATAATATGTTTGAAAATAAACGATGTGTACTAATAAAACCACAATGAAGAGAAACTAGAGAGAAATTAATTACCTCCCAATATGTGTGTGCCTACAATAGTTTGTTAAATAGTGCTCTTTTTTTATGAATGTATATGATGAATATTTATTTTTTCGAAAAAGAAAGTCAATTAATACAAAACAATATTGATTAGCTTTGGCATTGTACATAAGACGTATTCATTGTGCGCATTTTACAGCCAGATACGTACTTCAGAAAAACGTCTTAATAAGCTTTCAATGTATTGTTGTTCAACAATTTGTTCTACATAATCTTGCTTGATGTTATATCGATAACTACTGTCTTTATTGATAATCAGTTCGACGAGTTTATCAAACTGAATTACAACTAACGAAATAAATGCAGCAAGATTTTCATTAGGATATAAACCGATTTTCTCCATTCATAGAGAAGTGAGTCGTGGAAAAGAATTTACCAATATAGATATATCGATCAATTTCGATACATTCAATCAAACTAGAAAGAAAAAATACATCATTAATAATTATTTAACAAATAGGCTAGTTCATCAACACTGGTTCAATATTATCTTTGCTAGAAAATCAGAACTGTATTGTCTATAATGATGATAGGTCGTGCAGAAATCAGGTTGTATGGAAAGCTATGAGTCTTTTAATAACATAATATTACTTCTAGAATTTTAAGATTAATCATTTCCGTTAAATATTCACTGAATCGGAGAATCTCGAATTCCCTATTATGATATATTCAAAAACTAATTATGTATCTATGCTCTTCATTATTGCTGCCACTACTATATGAATGACTAACTTCGCGAATTTTGGGACTTAGTGCATACCTAATTTCTATTGATGTATACTACTATTAAGTATCTTCTTAACTTCTTATAACATCACCGATCAAAATATGTAAAGAACTGACGTTATTTATATGAGTTTGAATTTTTTAATAAATAACGATGAATTCTATTTTTTATATTCAGACGGTGAACAATCTTCAAATATTATTAAAATTTACTCAATTCTTTTTAAGAGAAATTCATGCTTGAAAAAAATGTTGAATTTTTCACTAGCTATGTTTATAGCTACTAACCAACAAAAAATATTAGATCATTCTTATTATGCATTCTGTCTACCATTTTATAATTACATTTAGGAAAAAAAAAGGAAAATTGAGGTGCCTTGTCGACAGACAAAAAAGACTTTAAATAGTATACTTTGAAAAACACAGACATAAAATTTCTGAATTCATATTCAAAAAGAGCATATAGTTCTGGTCTTAACTCACAGCTTTTGACTCATTGGAAATAGTTTCTAGCAAGTAAAAAGTATACAATATATCTAATTTAAAATCATTCCGGTCACTCGTTATTAGAAATAATTAAGAACAATTTTCTATATGACAATAATCGATCGAAAAACATACTTCTACATGTTTCGAACTGTTGTAAATCATGTTTCTCCATGTATGGTACTAATTCAAGACCATATCCATAAAACAGACGTGTACCATAGTTCATAGCAATAAATACACGCCATTTGATGATCGTCATGTTCAAAAGAGAGACTATTTTCTATCATTGGTCAGGATCACAGCGACAAATAGAAAATTTCAATGTTATGTAAATCTGCTAAGTCTCTAAGAAAAATTAACAGTACATTGAATATTGAATAAATTTATTGAAATAAAAGCGTGTACTGTTTCTTGAATATATTCAAGTTATATAATTAGAATTCAAATCAACTTAGTTTCAACTAGTGATGAAGGCTGATTGGGTTTCATTTGATGGAAATGAGAGATGATTCTGCACATTCTATCTCTATTACACAATATCACAAGAACGAATAAAATTATTACTAAATAAGATTAATGATGTCCTCTATACACATTTCTTCTAGTATTTTTGAATTTTTGTTGTAAGATAAATTTCTAAAACACGTCCTCACTTCATATTTCAGATCATTAAATTTAATTAAACATTTGAAGCTTATTCGCTCAGAAACAATTTCTATTCTCGATGCTATTTGAAAAAATTCTTCAAAGATCATATGTACCCATAACTAGAAAGAATTAGATCTATGACAGTTCCATATTAGTAGTTTCGAATATTCTGAAATAACGGTAAGTGTGACTTAGTGGTATGATAAAAAGGCTCGATTCTCAAAAAATAAAATAGTCCTTAGACTCTGTTCTACAAAAAGGAATCGGTTCATAGAACTGGAAGTTGTCGTAGATGTAGAAAGAATTATCTTTCATCTTGCATGTAAAGAGATTCCAAAGTTTTGAAATACTATATCTATTCATATAAATGAAATCGTAGAAGAAAAAGCATTGAAATTTCCATAGAGAGAGGGAACGAAATTCTCTCTCGATTAATATACAATACTCTATGTATAACATTGAGATTGGTGAACACTGACAAATATATTAATAAAAAATTCTTGAAAAGAATACAAGATCTTTTTCTGGACGATTGAGAAAATATTACTTGTTGAAAATTGTGACAAACAGAAAAATTTACTTTTCAAAGAAACAAGTCCTATATAGGGTCAGATTTGTTATGTACTGCATCTATTTACCTACAATCATAAGATTTTTCTCTCTCTCTCTCCCATGATATGCTTCCTTTGTTAGATTTTTCCTTCCTCGTCATATTGATGATGGATTTCTCGATTTCTTCTTCTTTATGGATTTGCATAGGCATGTTTATCATCTATTCGACTTTTCATCCTATGAATTTTCCATTCTTTCTTTCATACCATAAACTAAGTGGTTTAGTACAACAAGTGGAGTAAACATCTAACGAGCTCAACTCAAATTTTGAAATTGTTAACTATTTCAAGCATAAATCGTATCTATAGAAAAAGACTATACCTTTGATTATGATAAACATAATTCCAAATTACATTTACGTCAAATCTGTCAGATTCAATATCAAATTGTCCTTTATATAGTATGCATGTTTTCAGCAACCATCTTATCTATCTATTTAATCATTAATAAATAAGTATAATCAGAAATTTAAAAAAAATAGAAGGCATATAATACTAGAAATATCTATCACAGGTGAAAATCCATCACTGTAACGCCATGATGAACTATTTAAAAATAGTTCTACTGCCGCAATAATATACAGAGAAAATGTTTCAAATTTGACCATTGTGACAATATTGAACTAGAACTAAAAAGAAGCAATAAATAAATGATTGTCACAGATGATCTAGACGCAAAATAAAGAACAAGAATAATTAATAGCTGATATTTGAACGGTTGAATATGTTAAAGTTTGCAAACAAAATGCTACTAAATACAATATTGAATTTTCATATAGAAAAAAGTACTTAAATCTATTCTATCTAAATCTAATAATTTATATAAAACAATATATCACTGATTATGAATAGACAATCGATTTATTTTTATTATTTATTGAACTATTTCAAACATATGAGATAAACAAACTAATCTTTTTTGATATATGTCATATAATGAACAAGATGTAAAATTTAAACATTTATTGGAGAAAAAAAAAGTTCTAAAGTTAATAAGCATTTGTAATTAATAATTATTAAATAATATGATTCGATTGAAAAAATACTATTAATATGTTTACATTATCTAATATGCATATAGAAAAGGGCAAACGAAGGATTCTAACACAGGAAAATAATCATTGAAACTTTTTGAACGTTTTATTCTTGGCGTTACTGTATTGATAATTAATTGTTTTATTTTCCTGCAATTAAGCCGTGTTGTACCTCTTCTAAAGTTTGTTGTCACCATGTATAAATCATTATAACAGACTGTTAATTTGGTTAGACAAGGTAGATGTGTTTTTGTCTCATTGAGAAATTGATCGGTATAATGAATATAAGCAGTATCAAGTCGAAGTGAAATAAGATAAGGAAATTTAACAATTGGATAGAATTGATGATAATTAAATTTCAATTTATCTGATTTTGATCCCTGTGGTTCACGATTAATAATCCATAAATGTTTCAATAAAGGAAAAGACCAAGCAATTCGATGAAAAAATTCATGTTTGAATGGAACTATATCGTTCACTGTCAACCGTATAACATTACTGAAAATAATATTTGGAAATGTATTACCAATAGATTCAAGACAATTAAACATGAACGGTAATGAAAAGACACAATATGTGGTAATACCATATCCGTTATTAATAATACAATCCACTTGTCGATATATTGTATTAGTAAAAGTTCGTTGAATATCATCTTTAGATAAATAATGTCCTAAATGATTCATATTAATGTTAGTAGAAATACAAAAGTTAAATATATGAAGTCGTGGCATATGAACAAGAATTTCATTAGAAATGTGAATACCATCGATCAATGTAGTTCGATTTTTAATAGTAATATACAATGTTAATTCTTCAAGATTTAACATACGACGAAAAAGAGATAGAATTTGAGTATCATATATATCAGTTGAGCAATAAGATGTTGTTAAAGAAAAACATTTCAAATTAGGTAAATTATTCTAGAAAATATAAAACAATATATTATTAATCAATAAAAATAACAAAAAACAAAAGAGGTTTAGATAAATAATTCAAGATTGAAAAACATCTCTATTTCTATTTAATTCATTATTAAATATTTCTTCTACTTTATCATATAAATATCTTCTATACTTCTAGAATATAAAAAATAACGGATATTGAAAGAAACAAGTCATATCATCAGATATTCTATAACTATTTGCATTATAGAAAATCATCCGAATTGATTTGAACAAATGAAAGTTATTCCAATCTAGTTTTTCTATATTTAATAATCTTTATCTGTTCTTATTTTATTGCATTTGATCCTTTTCATCTTTAATACTCATCCTTCTTGTAGTTTTTCTATTTATTAGAAAAACAATAACAATGACTCAAAAGGATCTAAGTAAGCAAAAACATAAAATACTGTTTATAGCAAGAAAATATGATATATAAAATTGACTGTATTTGCTTATCAAATACACAACCATTCATTTCACATCTATTTGATTATAATTGATTCAAATCAATTGTTACTCTAAAGGGTTTTTTTGTAAGTTGAAAAATTTAATCTAATAAAATGTAAACTTACTATATCGTTAACATTCGACGAATAATATTCCATTTTATCAATAACAACAATTAAAGTCGTTAATTGTTTGAGACGACCATCAAGTAAAGCAAGACAATCATCATAAGTCATCACATGAATACATAATTTGTTAAGAGTTGAAGAGAAGAAGGTAGTTGAAGGTAAATTATGAAGTAGCAAAGGTGGACAAAAACCGGAAAATGATTCAATAATAGATAAATGTTTTAGATTTTTGAAGAATTTTAAAATATATTCATATACATCTGTTGTATAATTTTTTTCTAATATTTTATTAAAATCGTTCTCAAATACAAGAATAAGATCTGTTATTTGTTGTTGAAAAATACATCGAAATGGTGTTTCAACTAAATAAAAGATAAATAGTTATAATCTAGTGTATCTTTACAACAGTTTTTCATCTAAATCTTTATTCTAATCAATACGTAAGTTATTTACCTGTAAAATAACGTGAAAGAATTTTATCGTTAAAATTAAAGAGTTTAAGTTCAGTTAAATTAGGATATTTGACAGCATGAAGAATACGTTCCATAGATAGTGAATCAAGTATAAGAGATTTAACATTTTGATGAATTCTTGGTAATATATTTTTGCAAAATCGATCAACTATTGAATCAGTAAGCGAAGAAATATCATCAGTTAATGTTATTAATACGAAATTGAGAGTATTAGTGAAAGTATTTTCTTGTGCTATTATATCAAGTTGTTGATTATGAACATCCAACAATGAATAAAGAACATTCATATTGCCGAGTTTTTTTAAAATCATAAGCAATATTTCATTAGGTAAATCAAGAAGACCAACGTTAGATTGATTCATATTGAGTTTGACCAACGCTTTTTTTTTATTGTGCATATATATATATGTATATGTTCATTGTTTGTTTGTGCCGGCTACTATCATTGAATAAAATGAATGAATGACCTTGGCGAAAAAATACACAGCCTGAATAAATAGTCCAATTAATTTACGGATGGTTTTCTTTTGTCTACCTTTGATATTATTTTCATCAGTAGTCACTGTTGTTATTCGTACGAAAATGAAAAAGTCAAGTTAAAAGAAAAAGAACATAATCTTATTAAATAAAAAAAATTATTAAATTTTACATAAATGTAATTTAAAGAAATTACTTTTTTAGTCCATGGACTTGCTTGAGGGTGCAGGTGTGGATGTGGATGCGGGGTGTAGATGTGCGTGTGCGTGTAGGCCTTTGTATGGGTGTAGATGTGGGCATAAGTGAAGAGCACAATAACACTCACTTCCCACACGCACCCACACCAGCGTTTAAATAATCTCATGTTGTTAGACAAGAATATGTATTGAATTTACTGAGAAAAATCAAAAAACATAGATAAGTAATTTTAGAATATCACAAGCTACTAAAATTCATTTTACAATACAATGTTCTCTAAATTTTTGAATTAATTTCGATCGAAACATCACTCAAACCTGTAAAATTAACCATGCAAAATAAAAGACTGACAAATCATCGATGTATACCAAAATTTGATTGGCCAATAAATTCAACAAGAATACAAATCTTTGGTAGAGATTTTTAAAAACGACATTTCTCTTTTAATTTTACGAGGGTATGGGTGTGTGAGTGTTAAAAAAAGATGGCTTCCATACCCACACCCCATATCCACACACACCCTCGATAAAAAAAATCAGATCGTCTCCCATAGATCGGAAACCCACATGCATATTATCAAAAAAACATTCCCTCCTCCACAATAACAACAGCAAAATCTTTCCGAACACAGATCCCATTCACGACAATTCTCGAACAAATCTCATAAACCGCTCAAGCCTACTTCAGCCACTCCTTATTTATGGGTATCTATCTAATATTGTAATTTTCTCTTTTGAAATTACTCTATTATGTATAGATTAAGTACTATGTTTGTGATCTTCGGATCATTCTGTGAATTAGTACAGAATTAAAGCCGTCTGACAAGTTCTTTAGCAGGGATGAAATCATGATAACGGTAGCTTGATTCACACCCTCACCCTCAAGATAGTTGCTATTTAAAAAGCAAACGACTTTTTTTCACTTAGATTTGTTTATTTTTATCAATGAAATATTTTTTTTTTTTTCGTAAGCATAAACGTTGAGAAAACGTTTCTTTTTTTAAGTAACAAAAATTTTTAATTTATTTGTTTGTCCTTATTTTATAGATATAGTTATATTTTCTTCATTCACTTTTTATTATTAAGAATAATAAAAGTAAATCCACATTCCTATTTATAGAAACATACTTATAAAATTCAGAGACAACTAAGTAGCTAAAAAATAAAAATCAGCATATTTAAAAGATTTATTTTCTGTCTAGGAAATGAATGAAATTAAGAAAATCTTTAAGCGTAACCAAGGGTGGTGCTTTATCTTTATTTGACCAAGAAAATCAGAATAGCTAACTTTACTTTTCCGGTAATGTAAAGCAAACAGACTTTACCTTATCGGCTAATGTAAAGGAAGTCTACTTTACTTTACCTGTGGAAATAGCATAAAAAAATATGTGTCTTACCAAAAAAGTAAAGTAAAGTAAGATAGTGCAACTTCATGTCTTGTTCATAAAAGACAAAATCAGATTAAGTAGAAGAACGATAATGCTGATTAGGGATGGTGCTTTACTGCTATTTTATTTTCTAAAGAAAAATGGTTTATTTATCTTTATTTTCTAAACGTAAAGGATGAATTTATGTTTATCTTTTATAATAAAGGAAGAGTGAAGATAAAGAGTCTAGCCTAGTGCGGATTACGACTAAAATCTTGTCCGTAACCAAAATTTAATCATAAATTGAATTGCAATACTTAAAATCAACTGGTGATAATTTGATCAAGCCTCTTATATAGGCAATATGGATTTACTACTATTTGTATGATAATAGATCACAAAATCCGTTTTAAATTGTAGGAGTGGCACTTTATCTTTATTTTTAACAAAACACTGAAGTTGTCGGCTTTGCTTTACTGAGTTAAGTCAAGTCAGTAATTTAAATTTTTCTAGTAAAATAAATTATATATACTTTATCCAAAAAGTAAAGTACAGTAAAATGAGCTTGGATACACATAATTTAAAATTGATTTCGTGATCTATCATCATATATTGATAGTGGTGCATCAAATTTGCCGATTTGTGATGCTGAGCTAAATTGTAAGGAACTGATTTTAAGTATTACAATTCAATTTATGGCTAAGCTTTGACTATGAACAAAATTTTAGTCGTGACGGACACTGTCGACCTTTTTATTGATCTGATTTTATCCTTCATTAAAAATAATACATGCAATCTATACTATGTCACTTTACTTTACTTTTTCCGTAAAGCGTATATAGTTTACTTTACTTTCACCAATAGAGTAAAGCAGGTTTTGTTTAAATTAGCCGACAAAGTAAAGTTTGTTTTCTTTACTTTACTGAAAAAATAAAGTTAACTATTTTGCTTCATTTAGGAAAGTAAAGATAAAATGGTATTTCTATTAGACTGCGAGTATTCAAATTCACTTTACTTTACTTTACTTTGTTGAATAAAACAAAGTCAGCTACTTTACTTTTCAAAGTAAGTTAGAGGGTGAGGGTTCTGAAATGCTGCATACCAACATAAATAGAACGAGATATTTTCGAAAATTTAGTATCTTGAAATGTGTATCATAAAATTCTATTTATAGAAATATGCTTCGACCAGGGGTGACACTGTAACTTTTCTTTAAAGTTAAAGTTAGTAGATTTTTTCGGTAAAAACAAAGTAGATTTTTTTATGAAAAAATGTTTATTTTTCACGAAAATAATAATTCTTTTAATAAAGGAAATATTTTTTTTACAGAAAAAATTCTACATGAAAAGCAGCTACTTTAAGTTTAACTATATTAACGAGATATTTTTAAGGTTAAAGTGCCATCTCAAGCTTCGACTTCTTTTTTTTACTCAAATGGCTTAGTAGAAGGTTGATAGGTTAATCTCCGTGGGTTAGAAAAGTCAATCTTTTGTTTTCAACTACTGTATCTTTTAAGCCTGATATGATTACACATATTTTTTTCTCGAATCTGAATATTATTGAAACAATGATGTAGTAAACTAGCTACATGGACACACTTTCGCCTTGTTTTAACTTTCCTTTTAAAATATAAATTCTCACTGACTAAAACACCTAGTCGTATATTCAACAGCGTTTCAGAAAACAACTAATCGGAACGAGCTTTTACTAAGTGGATTGACTGACGGAAGCAATCAAGAAAATGCATTTTATTGATACTGTTAATTAGATAGCATTTTGCACAAGAGACATATCTTCTTTCCATTTTAAACGTGATCTGAAGCCCAAAAGGATATAAGTGCGTCCCAATGCGTTTAGTTTACATTTATATATTCCAAAGCTCTGGATTTTTTCGAAACACATTCGTGAAACAGAGTAAATCGCTGCATCTCGATGCGTTTGAATGATGTTTCCATCGACAGACGCGTCGGAACGTCGAAGAATACAGCATAGACGGGTTTATTTTCAACAATATTCGTGAAAATTTCGTTTGCTGCAAACGCATTTCGATGCAATCGTACTAGACTCGTTCATGCACCTTCGCCACTACGTGGAAAGTGCGTTTGACGATTACATGGAAAAAACCTCAAAGATCTTGATAGCAAAAGAAAATTAATCAAATAAAAAAGAATATCGTAATAATTTTTTTCTCTTAAAACTCGGATTACTAGTATTATAGTAGAGAGTGCAGTCGAAATAATCTGTTGAATACGTAAACTGTAGTAGAATAGTACTGTAAATAGCTTCTTTTGCGAATATGCTACTGCTTCTCTATTCGTGAATGAAATTTTATTTTCATTACGTACGGAAAATGAGCTACTGTAGTAGAACAAATAAAGTTTTTAACAGGGCTACTTGCTTGCTCGATTATAAAATTTCAAGGCACACAATAAATTTCCGTTTTCGCTCTTATTGCTGTTTAAATCAAAAAGAAGGAGGCCGAGGGCATTTTCAAAATATATACTACATAGAATTAACCCTTGAGTGATGTGAAAAAGCGCAACATTAAGTAGATGTCTGTTGCAAATAACATCATTGTATACACATGCTCATCATAATTGACAAAAGTGGACCAGAGTTAATGTGGCATGAACGAATTTACACGATGTCACTTACGTGATTACGAATTCATGCCGGACATCGTTCTAATGTATTTGGCTTATAGTGAAATGTCCAGAAGAATCATTCTGACAATCGGATCCCATCCAAACCCAATCAAATATGACCTAATGAAATGGGGTTTCCATCAAACCAACGAAATTCTATCACTTTCCAGGTCATGGAATGATATTCGAATCCCAAGTGTTGGAATCGGATATGACCTATTATCGGAATCCGACAGAATTCAACTGCGTGTACACTGAATGATATCCCTCAAGGCCGATCACTATCATGAAGATCCTTAGACATGAAAGTATGAAAAATATTGCCTTTCTTATGTGCCATTCGATGTACCACAACTAGCTCTAAAAAACTATGCATGTGATACCCTTCTAAGCGCTCTATGCATAAGAAACGGTCGGCGATCTTTCCAAAAATAAAGAGTTGAAATGGTGTTTTTCAAATGATGGAATCATAAGACGATATGCAAAATAACATGATGGTTCCTAAAGTCTGGTATAGCATTTTTTCTAATCGTTGAGATCTATTTGGATTTGAATTCTCAAACTGATTCATCGAGTCTTTCTTTTAAAAAAATATTCGAATATAGTCTGCGATTTATCAGAGAACTTTTGTAGATAAGCATTTTATCGCTCTAACGAGCGAAAAAAGAAAACCAAC